ACTGACCCCGCCCCTTTAAAGAGTTATTCCCCGCCTCTAGGAGTCCCCGCCCATCTCTCAATCTTCCTCCATCCTTATCCCCGCCTCCTGGAGTCCTCGCTCCTCCCTCGTTCCGCTGCACCTGTATCCCCGCCTCCCAAAGTCCCCGCCCAAGTGCTCATTCCCCGCCCCCCGGTGCAGCACGTGGCCAGCTGTGACACACATGGCTGCGGAGATGGCGGAACTGATCCTGGAGGACGGGAGCCGCTTCACCGGCACCGTGATCGGCCGGAACCGGCCCGTGTCCGGGGAAGTGGGTGCGTGTGTGCAGAGGGAGGGAGGACGGGGATAGGGATGATAGTGAAGGATGGAGATGATGGGTGAGGGGGCAAGAATAACATTAAGGATGGAGATGACAATGGGGCTAAGACGAGTGCAATGTGCGGGAACCATTACATGAAGTGCTGGGGCCATCGGTAGGATGAGGATGACAATGTACACAGTAGGGAAGAAGAGCGAGGATGGGGATGATGACCTCAGAGCCCAGTAGGGTGATCATATAGCACATATGGTGACTCTATATCAGAGAGGAGCACAGAAGAGGCTTCCTTGGGTAATAAAGGTGCATTGGTCATCCGGTGGTGGTAGCTCCCAGGTGGGTTCTCTTGTTTTCCCCTCCCCCGGAGTCAGGTGACATGTTTAGTACTTACAGGTATGGAGGAGCAGGTGACCGCTCTGGTGGGTGGTGATTGGTCCAGCACAGTCACATGGGATCCCTGTGTGAGCTCCGACTTGTGGAGGTTTCTCAATCCCGGGGGGGAGGGGGCATTAAATGGAACCTGTTGTGTTGCTCTGGTTGGGTACAGCACCCATCACATTACAGATGAGGGGTGGAGGCTCTGGGATCCCATGGTGGCCCCAGGCAGAGCTCCTCCACCCCGGACAGGAATGAAGTCATGCTGACCTGCCAGTGATGTGGGGAGTGTCTGCAAAAGGGTAGAGGTCTGGGGGGGGTGTCCCGGGTCTCTGCTCCTGGGTGGGATGGTGGTCTGGGGGTTGTCCCTGCTTCTGGGGGTGTCCCGGGTC